TCAGTGTTGTAATTAACACTGGATACCCTTTTGTCGTAGAGTTTGATTAGAATTCCTTTCATCACAACTGTTGTTTTTTATGATTTAACTTGAAGTCCGTTTCTTCGACTCCTTCGTCGCCAAGATGTTGTAACCAGGTAAATGGTTTAAGAAATAACAATACAAGTGTTGCAGATAAATATATTAAACAGTAAGTACAACAGAAGAGTATTACATGACTAGTGAGTGTGTGTTGGTTGACCTAGCGTTCAATCTATTCAACTGTTCCTCCAAGGCTTTCTCTCCTACTAATCTTAAAGTAGGCGGAAGAGTCCAACATAGACTCTTTAGATGGATGACGCCACAACAATACATACATATATATATATATATATATATATATATATATATATATATATATATATATATATACAGAGAGAGAGAGAGAGAGAGAGAGAGAGAGAGATAGGAATGGAAATTGAAGACAACACCCAGAGGTGACAGTCGTCTGACAAGGACTATTGCGTTTAGCATGAAAATGACTGACGCCTTTGGTTGTTGGCTTCACTGTCCAATTTATATTTACATACGCTCTATCACTGATATTGAGCACTTTAATCCATACGTATACCATACTTTAAAACTATACCTTATCATATACATTATATGAATAGATAGATAGATAGATAGATAGATAGATAGATAGTTAGATAGATAATGAACAAGCTGGAATAGATAGATAGATAGATAGATAGATAGATAGATAGATAATGACAAACTGGGATAGATAGATAGATAGATAGATAGATAGATAGATAGATAATGAACAAACTGGGATAGATAGATAGATAGATAGATAGATAGATAGATAGATAGATAGATAGATAGATAGATAGATCGGGAATTCAGGTCACTCTAGATCAATATACGAGATCCTCTGTTAAAGATTATGTAAAAGTGGTTGGTTACTTGTACTGCTCCGATCCGTACCTGAGCACTTCTCTCGGGCTTTAATTTTACAAAAGTCAGATGAGAGCAAAATGGATTTATTTTTATCATAGCTGGGCTGCAGGTGTCCAAATGTTCTTTTGAAAAAGTTCAAAAGCATTATACGTCGCATAGCGGATAATTAATATTCCGCTCTACAACATCTTTCCTACAGTCAATAAGTTGCAAGTTTCTCGTTACTCAAAGGAAATTTGAATGGAATATATTCCTTAGTTCAACCAATTGTAAACCTCACAAATAAGTTCCAAAATGTCACGTACAGTGAGTCGTACTGTCCTTATGCCATTTGGTATTATTAGATAAACGTTAAATTCAAGGAATAAATCTCCAAAGTATATTATACTTTTCTCTGCAGCAGGACAAAATGTGATGAATGCTATATTTAAAACTCTCTAATCTCTCTCTCTCTCTATCTCTCTCTCTCTATCTCTCTCTCTCTCTCTCTCTCTCTATATATATATATATATATATATATGAGTATCTCGGATTATTATTATCTATAGATCTCTCAATGTCAGTCCGTTCATATTTATCTATCTAACTATCGACCTATCTATTATCTATCTCAGTTTGTTCATATCTATCTACCTATCTGTCACAGTCGTTTCATATCTTTTTCAGCCTCTTCATATCTCTCTCTCTCTCTCACTCTGCCAAATCTACCTATCTCAGTCAGTTCACATCTATCTATCTATCTATCTATCTCATTTGTATCGATATGAGAATCAGTTAGCTTTTTTCTGTCTTTATATGTAAATCGCTTTATAACTTCTCGTTCCGTCATTTCATATCTATCTCCATCTTTTTCATTATTTCTTTCTTTCTTTCTTTCTTTCTTTCTTTCATTCTTTCTTTCATCATCCGACTTCTTTAAAGAACTTATACCCCACCAATTTTATTTACATAATGGTTTCTTTCTTTCTTTTTCTATTTTCTTTCTTTCTTACCTCCTACTCTCTCTTAATTTTGTTCACATACATATTTCCCTTTCTTTCTTTTTCTATTTTCTTTCTTTCTTTCTTTCTTTATCCGATTCATTAAATCCTTCTACATTTTGTCAGTTTTCTTTACATACTTCTTTCTCTACCTTTCTTTCTTTCTTTCTTTCTTTCTTTCAACCTCCCACCATTTTCTAATATTTTTAAATACTCGTTTTACTTCCTTCCTTCCTTCCATCCTTCCTTCCTTCCTTCCTTCCTTCCTTCGATTCTATAGCGCCAGTTGACGAGCTTCGATTAAGGATGACCGTGGCTGAGACATGCGGGCGTTTCTTGCAAGGAACTACTTTTAGCAATCGATCTGAGAAAGTCATTTTATATATCCGCCAGTTCAGATATTATATCCGAACGTTCTTGGCGCCATGGATGACATCCATATGAAAGTCTCGATTTGACGCGGGGATTGTCCCCGAAGAAAATCGATTCTTTGTAAAAATTATTTTTCGTAGCAAGTTAATTTATTATAGCCAGGATTGATCTCACAAGCAGAAAGATGTTTAGAACAAGACGAATTT